CTGATGATGGACACCACCCCCCCTCTAGCGAATGATGATGGATACCACCCCCCTCTCTAGCTGGACCGCCCCCCGCTCTTCTGTAACAGACGCACGAGCCTACTGCAGGTACTTTTGTGCAACCACCACAAAAAACTATTCCACCTCCCGATCTAGTATGCATCTTTGTGTGCACACTGAGAACAAGGATAATGTATAGTCTACACACGCACGCACGTAGTATGTGAAATACAGAGTGGCGCGACTGGGTGTCGTAGGAGAGCAAGGGCAACGTAAGTATGGTCTACACATTGTCTACATCCATGAACGAAGTGTGCAGCAGTACAAAGTCGTACCGTAGACCGCAGGGCTTGTGCCAAAGATGAGAAAAACGTGGTGTACACCTGTAGAAGCTGCTGCAGGTAGATTGTGGTAAATTATTCTCGCCAAACCCCCCTCATGCCATCTTCTACGTCTATCGCCAGAGCTGCTGCTGCAGGAAGATACTGCTGTGTTGCTCATGCCCCTTCCGGTTTGCCATGTTCTTTAAGTAGTCGAAAATGCAGCGCCGCGAATAACCTGACAACCGACGATCAATTCCCGCCGACCGTACACCGCGCACGACGTCTATGTGCACAGGTCTTGTCATCCCTGCACATCGTGGGTAGGGGAAACTTCTTCGAGGACATGAGCCAGGCTTCACACATGATTGAGGGCGTTTTACAGGCTAGCTTTCACAACTTCACGAAGCTGTTCGCCCAGGAGTCTTATCACGACCACGTGTGTATGCCCACTGGCGAGGACCAGCACAAGGTGACTTACACTTCATGACATGTCTGCCGCACTTTTTTTCTTCGTGCGACCACACTTGCTTTCCGCTGTACCCGTTGAAGACCATTCCGCCCGTATTTCCTTACGCAACCGGTCGCCCCGGTGGTCTAGTGGTATCCTCGTCCACCGCTAGTCGCAGAGGTCGTGCTAGACGCAGAGGTCTTGACTTCGAATCCCCATGGGGTGAAAAAAAAAAGTTTGCGGGTTAAAGTGTAATCTAGCTGAAAGGCTCTCGTGAGTGCCAACTTCGACGTTAGTGCAGTTGACGAGGAAAGGGATGGCTGGTCCTTCTCGCGATAGAGATAAAATTCAGCACGCAACGCAGGAGGAAGGTGGGGCATCTTGACAAAATACATGGAAGAAATAAGCCCTGGGGTTTTCCCCCTCCGGTGTGACCCTGGATGGTTGTAGTTGTACGAAAGAACACACTGAAAAATAGTACTCTAGTTACAAGCGCTGAAAAGTGCAGTGCACGTCTCACCACGAAGAATGGAGGGACTGTCGCCATAGTAAATAGGACGAAAACAGAAACAAAAATAAACATGTTTTCTGTGTATTCTCTTGACAGGCACCGGTCAATATTGATTTGTCCATCCTGTCTACACTTAAAAAACTTGCGTATGTATGCGTCCCGCGTGTTCGGATAGGGCGTGTTTGATTGAAAGGCACAGTGTGCGTGATTGAAAAACAAAGACCCCTAGCAAGCAATAAGAATGGTCTCAAACGATGCGCTCGCACGGTCGAGCACGTTTATCGCAATGCGTAATGTTCTCATGTTGGTTTAGCTGCGCGCAAGCTTTGCTTGCAACGACGAAGTTGTTATTGCTTTGTTTGGTGCCCCACAACGCACACGACGTCTTCCCGGATCGATATAAACATGATCAGGTGATGGAGGTGTATGATCTCCTGGGGTTCACGGGAGCGATAGGGTCAACCGACGTCACCCATATCCGGTGGGCGTTCTGCCCCTATTCTTGGGCAAGGCAGTACACGGGGAAGGAAGGGCTCCCGAGTATCGCGTACCAGGCGATCGTAGATCACACCGGACGAATCCTTGCCGTTACGAAGGGCTTCGCCGGTGCCATGAACGACAAGACCATCATCTGGTACGACACGGCAGTGGCGAAGATCCGCCGTGACCCTGTCTACACGGAGAAGGTGTACACGCTCTCCGACAAGAACGGCCAACCTTTCGAGCGCAAAGGAAACTACAGTATTGTGGATAATGGGTACAACAAGGTGAGGGCGGTTTATAAATTCTGTGATTGTCCGGCTCGTGCCGTTTCCAGTGTGGTGTGGGCATGCTTCACAATTGCGATTTGTATGGACCGTCTGCTTAATCTTTGGAGCAAGTTTGGCACCCCCAGTGTGTGTGTGGACACACAACTCATAACTTCTTCAAGATAGCACGTCAATGCCTCAGAGGAGCCTCCGTGTGCCCCCCCCTCTCTCGTATGAGTGGAGCCTTCTTCTCTTTTTTGTTCAAGGGTTTACTCGGTAAAATACCGCCAGTAGGCGGTATTGGCCCTCCCATCGCGAAGAAAAGTCGGAAACAAAAAGGTTGGGTGCAAAAGTTTTTTTGCTGCAAGAGACATCAAGTTCAGCGTCGACTATCTTTCGGGGGGTGCCTCAATCGCAACAGGTCTGTCGCGGAGTAGCCCGAGCTTCGTTTGAGAAATTTTCGACGTGATTTTCCGCCGTAAACTTTTAACCCTTGCGGGGAAGAAGTCGCCGCGAAACGTCATATAAAAAAACAAAAGATAAAAGGAAGCTCAGGCTACTCCGCCACCGACCTTTTGCTACTGAGGCACCCCCGAGAACCGACGCCCCGCACACACACCACCACAGGGAGATCAAACACGACCATCAACTTTGGTGTTGAAATATCAGCGGCGCTGTCCCCCTGGTGCTATTTTCCTTTCTGCTCGGGTAAACAGCGTGGCAGACCCCACCTCTGGAGTGGGACGGTTAATATTACGGTATCATCACGGTTTGGTCAACCGCTGTTTTCCGGACATAGTAGCAACACCCGTCCGACGTACGTCGCCCCGAATCGTCCTTGCGAATGGCTACTGTAGCTTGTATTCTGATGTTTGGTCAAAATGCCGGATCTTGTGGGTCCTTTCGCGTGCCGCCGCCGTTCTCCACGCACGCGTGTAATGTCCGATCAACAATCGGATTGAACGCGAATGTTGCTGGTTCACCGGGTGGTCTCATACTGCGTCTATGTTTTCGTTTCCCCTCAAAAACCTGCTTTTGTACAAATCTCTTCCTCCAAACCCATTGGTGCTGCGAATCGCTACTTGTATCCCCTTTTTACAACGCTTCTCTTTCGTGAGGCTGGCGTAATGCTATTTACAAAAATTCACTAGTCCACATACAGATAGCGCCCGCTTACCCGCATATTGTACATGCTCACTGGCTGTCTCAGACCGAGCACTTGTTCCGTTTTTCAAAAATCTTATATCGAGCATGTATCCGCCGATGAAAAGCGGGTTCATTCCTTTTGCAATATTCTTGCACCGAAGGCTCCATGACCTACATGAATGTACTGTAGGTCCTAGAGGTGCAGCAGTAGATCGAGGACTGATAGCTACGACGCAGGTGCCTCGTGGATCACTTTCTCGTTCGACGCTCTCGCAGATGGTGTGGTGATCATGACATGCGCAAGGTGGCGCTCCGCCCGACACCGAGCTCGAGCGGATGTTGCAAATGTTCAAGAACAGCAGGATGCATACAATGACATGTGAAGTTTTGTAATGTCGCCGCACCACGGTCCCGAACGGCAACTTTCGTCGAGAACCCGCCGCATTTTTCAGCGCCATGCGCCCCCGCTGCATCAGACGATCACACGCCATCACCCGCAGCAGCAGCAGCAGCAGAAGCAGCCACGGCAGCGGTGGCACGGGGAGAGAGAAAGAGAGAGAGAGGACCGGGAGAAGTTACTTCACCATAATGAGCAGGTGAGAGTCTCTGTCTCGGCGTGCTTAGGTCTACATCGGGGCGCTGTTCTGGTGGGGACCACGCGTGGCTCCTGCTGTGAAAGGGTGATATCACTTGACAGGTATCCCTGCACCGCGCGGAAAGTGCAACCGGCTGTTCGTACGAGGCGCCACTTTGGGTTACAATATGGAAGGAACCTTGTGTTTGATCGGTGTCCCGTGCCACGCTTCGGGAGACCTTGGGCAATATAACACCCCCCTGCGTTTTATTCGTAATGTCCACAACCTGGTATTCTACATATGCTGCCCTCGCTGCTCCGCCATCCCAAACACGTTTTGGGGGCGTGTTCAGAAATCGTGCCAGCTTCTGTGAGTTTGGTACATAAGCCATTTCCATTCAGTGGTGGCTACGGAAGAAAAGGGGTTTTGACGCTGGCTCTTTTCCCATGCTTAATGCAAAACAAAGAAAGAAAACAACCTTCCCGCCAGGGTTAGTTTAGGCAATTCTATTGTCATCGGTAGAGGACACCATAAATAGGCGTCGTGCTACTGGATCTGAAATATCGAAGGGCGCAGCAGCTTTGTATACAGTCCGAAATCTGCGCCGGAACCAAGCGGCATCCAACATTTGTCACAGCCATGCTGACCGCCACGGACCGCAAACCCCTGAATGTTAATTGGAACGAGCATGCTACTGATCCATACACCAGTGTACAAAAGGGTCTGGGGGCCATCCGATCATTTCACGACATTCTGGGTGGCTAGTTAGTCTTGCAGCAGCACACGGGTGTATCCGTCGTTAGGACAGTTTTGGAGGAATGCCCTGCAAGTTGGCACACGGGTGTGTCACTTTACCTGTTGCCACAAAGAATAACGAATTATGTAGAAGCACTTGGTGACTGTGTACGGTGATAAGAGGTTGTGTTGTTTTCAAGGGTTACTCGGTGACGGTATTGTAGGCGGACAAGGTTTCGGCGGTAATGCCGTTTGGCGGAAATCGTTTTGGTGATAGACGGTAATGCGTTTATCGGCGGTGACGACTTCGGCGGAAGCGGTAAAACCACTTTTTGATGGTATTTTTTTGACGGTATTGCCATTCGGCGGTAATTGTTTCGGCGGTAGGCGGTAGTACGATTTTCGACGGTAACGACTTTGGCGGAGGTGGCAAAGCATTGTTTTGGCGGTAATTTTTCGGCGGTATCGCCATACGGCGGTAAGTGTCTCTGCGGTAGACGGTAGCGCGATTTTTGGCGCTAACGAGCTTGGCGGAGGCGGTAAACGAGAATAAATGGTGGTAAAACGGCGGATCACCGGGACCGCCCACCACGGTGGGAATTGCACGGCGGAAATGATTGCCATTGCCTATGGCCACAACTTAAGCGACACCACAAACAAGGCGGCAGTTGCGGTGCCAAGTTGCCGCGCCCGAACAGACGGCAAACCACTTTGCCGAAGATTGACCATCATGTACTTCCATGATGGTGTTGTCGTTTTCACCAGTGGCTTTCACATTTTAGAGTCAATTCCACGTAGAAACATGTTCGCGCCTCCTCGTCTCCCTGTCCTTTTAATGGTTCTCCCGAAAGCAAACCCGAACCAAAGAAGAACAGACTTCAACAAAAATAAATGATCGGAAAAAGGTCGTCCACACGTGTACTTGATTCACACTGTGGTTGTACAGCAGAAGAGGCTAGACCTCTACTTACTCAGGCAATCGTTCGGCGGTATTGATGTGTGGCGGAAATTGTTTGGGCGGTAGGCGGTAATGCGATTTTTGGCGGTAACGACTTTGGCGGAGGAGGTATAACACATTTTTTGGGTAATTTTTCGGCGGTAACGCCCGGAAATTGTTTTGGCGGTAGGCGGTAACGTGGTTTTCGGCGGTAACGCTTTAAGCGGAGGCCGTAAAAAAGAAAAACGGTGGTAGACCGGCGGATTACCGGGACCGCCCACCACGGCGGTAATGCAACGGCCGAAAAATTACCGAGTAAACCCTTGGTTTGTTTGAGACCCACTGAAAGGGGTGGCATCTTTTCTTTACATGTCAAAAAGCAAGAAAATATTGCTTAGAGACACCCCGAAAAAATCAGGTAGGCGTATTGATAATCCCAGGTCATGCTCTCTTGCACTGTGTCTGTACGTACAACATGCGTCTATTAATCCCAAGGGGCTGGAGCCCATTGCACCGACTAGCCACCAAATCACAAGCCTACACTTGTGCTGCCTATTTTCCCTGCTGTCACAACTGCTTCCCGCTCAAACCGTGAACGTTGCCTCGATTACCAGGGCATCTGTACCGCACTAGGTAGGGAAGCAAGCGTCCCCGCCAAAAACCGACGCAGGCGTGATTGTTTTGGTGCTCTCTGCTGCTGCTGCTGCTGCTGCTGCTGCTGCTGCTGCTGCGTTCTTGTACAGGCTAGCTCACGGCGAGACAACGAGAGACACAAGAGACACAGATAGACATGCTGCTGTTAGCTACACGTGAACACACGTTGGATCGGCCGTTGTTGTTGTCGCCTTTTCAAGCCAGAAGAGAGAGAGGCAACATGTGGAGAACAAACCAGCAACCTTAGACTGCTGTGTATTTGTGTGAAGCGTACTGAGGCTGGGTCTGTGTTTGTCGGTATGTTGCGAAAACGCCCAGCAGAGAGACAGGACAGCAACTTTTTCTTTCAGAGGCGATAGGAGACAACAAGAATACGAGAGCGAGGCACGACATTCACACAACGAACACATCCTGGCGCTGCTACACTCCGTCGTTCATGTACTGCTATACACCTCCCTTTTGTGAACTGCCACTGCCGTACACCTCTCTACGGTTGTGGGTGAGGGTCTAGTGAGGAATACTTCTATGTGCTTTTCCCGATAGCCTTGCCGTCTATCACACGCTTTTGAGTTGTGTCGTGATCAACGAACGAAAGGCTTGAGACCGGGCCGAGTTTTTTTCTTTTGGCTGCTGTTGTTGACCACCACCCCCTCTGTGAATCACCTTTCCCCAGAGTTCAACCTTGTAGCCGACGGCAGGTGCTGCCTTTTGCAGGCAAGAACCGAAAAGGCATTGTACTTGTCTCCGCCCAGTTTAGGCCATTTTTCATCCACGGTACATTTATGTCATTTTTCATCCGCGGGCCCCTTTTATCACTTGTGCCTGCTCACGTCTGTGCTAACGGCTTGATAAGCATGAATCTTGTTCCGGTTTCCATTGGTTCCCCGTCGAAAAGAGAATATTCGAGCCAAACAAAATGCCCCGCCACGCCGCACCTTGCCACTACACATTGATTCGTCTTTCCCGAGCAGCAGAAGCCGCAGCAGCAGCAGCCGCGGTGGCATCATCCTGAGCCGCACCCACATCAGTATAAGCATCAGCAGGAGCAGCAGGAGCAGCAGCAGCAGCAGCGACAGCAATAGCAACAGTGGCAGTAGGACGGGAGAGAGAAGGGGAGAGACAACCGGGAGTAGAATCTTTACCAGGGTGAGCGTTTTCGGTCGTATGTGTCTGCAGACAGCAGATGGTTTGCAGGCTGCTCAGGTAAATCCGTATGCTGGTGTGCAGAATAGAAGCAGTCGTATACACTAGGGTGCCGAAGCAGCTCGGTTTGTCTCGGAACAAAGAGACTACAAAAAATGTCTCCAAAGTACTCACTGGCTCCGTTCCCATTTTGGATGAGATGATGAAAGGGATTTAGCACACGGGGCAGGGTCTCTCTTGTGCCCAGCTCACAACAAGACAACACCAAAAACATTAACCCTTGTACCTGACCCCTGGATCTCCGTCTCGGCCGCCGACGAAATTTCTCAACGGGCCATGCTGGCAGCCACGCGTGCGTATCGTACATATCCTTACGTTTGAATGTTGAGGCTACTACGGCTAGCTCGTTGACTATTTGAGCTAGTACTTCGTAGATTATTCTATTGGTTGTCACCACTGAGCAAAGTTGCTGCTACTCCATATTGCTTGGGTTGTGATGGCGAAATTATCAAAGTTACATGCATTTTTTTACCTATTTCTGCGTATACTGCACGCCCATGTAAAATATACCAAGCCTCTTTTCACTATACACAGGCAAAGCCGCAACACGCAGAAATAATGTCTGTTCGTGAGGAAGCCATACTTGACACATAGACATTCCAGAAGTTAATAAAAATGTGCACAGTGCTGTACAGCATCGTCAATGAAAGATTGTTGCTCTCAAAACAATGTTCCACATGTGGGTGACGCACACACAAACGACCATGTTTGTGTATCGATGTACGACACCGAAACACTGAATACATTCAAGACACCACTCCTACGACGTTGATGTGTTTTATGGATTTTTCTGGTTTCCAACCGCATGCCGCATATTTAAGCTGCATGCCTGTGTACCAAGGTACGAAGTCTCCCACCTCGACCTTCACGGTCTTGACGCTCTGCAATGCCAAACCTCAGGATGAAGATGAGGAGGAGGAGGAGGAGGGTGTGGGCGAAGAAGAAAAGCAACAAGATCCTTCTAATCCTGCCCCGTACCCGTCGCCGGTGAGTTAGTTATGCATCGGCGGCCAAGAGAGTGAACGCTTAGAAAAAATTGTGCGAACTACCCAGGTCTGTTAAACCCAGGCCTGTACTACATAAGGCGGGGTAGTGAGCCCCGTGGTAGCCGACTCAACGCCTGCCAGTACTCTATGTATATGCGATGCATTTTGCAGGTGGCGGGTGCAGTCGATCATTTTGAATTTTGGATTCGAGTCATCAACGAAAATGTTCTAAAAAATAGACTCCCGCAGAACGAACGGCCGTTGATAATTCGTGTGCATACAGCAGTAGCGTGGGTGACACAAGATACCACACCCTGGACCAATTATCAAAGCTTCGTTGCTCCACACCACAGGAAGTGGCGGTGCCGAAAATGTTGGTGTGGGAACCGTCTCCTGCTCGCCGAGAGCTTTCCGACATCTCGCGGGGTGTAAGCATGTGTTCGTCGTGGAGATTTTGGCTTCAAGAATCGGTACAGGGTGTATGATACCTGATATTACCTACGGCAAACCTGTGTGCATACGCCATACATTTCCATACGTTCCCCTATCGATTTAGGTTTTCTGTAAGGCGTTTCCCCGCGAGCTGTGTGTATGAAACGTTTTGTGTGATGATTAAGACCGACCGGGAGGCTGTAGGACGCTCAGAAATTCCGAGCGCGAGAGTTTGGCACAGCCTGCAAAAGATACACGGCGTCTGCCGGGATCAGTTCCTTTGTATTTTTGTTGCCCTAGGCGCAGGTTTGGTTCACCGATGATCCCTCCCCACACACCGAAGCAACAGTAATGACAATGACACCCGCCAGAGCTGTATGCATGGTTGCCTTCCCTCGCCAGTGCTGTCTTGCCCATCCCAGCGGTGTTGTGTGTGTAGCTGAGTGCTTCCTCTGTTTCTCCTGGTTTGGACCAAGCAACTACGTGTGTAGGGGTGGAAGATCCCGATTGTTGTTGCTCCAATACCTCTTTTCCACTCCCCGCGGGAGAAGGGGTACAAATATCCAATGGTTTTGGGTACAAATTCCTGTCAAGCACAGCCATCTGTCGTAGGAGTGCGACGAAACCGGTGTGACGAAGAGTGCCTAATTGCTTCCCCATTTCAAGTCAGCAGATCGTAAATCGGTGCTCTACTTGCAGACCTCGTTCTTGGTCGAACAAAGGCGATTATTTTCGGACAGTCCATAATCAGGCGCAAATTGCAGAACGGCTCGTACATCGCGTTGGTTGGAAGAGCCCGATATTTAAAGAGTTTTTTTTTCCTCCTGGGGGATGAAGGGCAAAAATGTTAGTAGCGACGAGGAAGCCTGCGCGCGCGTCGACCTGCTCGAATAATGGAACCGCGATGCCAAGCGAGACAGACTTCGCCAGTGGGGCGGTCGTCACAACAGAATCTCAGGAGGAAATCCAAGAGCGAATGGCACTAACGACCCTTCTTCCAATGCCCAGCCGCGAGAGGTCAACTCTGGAGATGGCGAGGCAGACCAAGCACCGGGTGGTGGCTTAAGGCAGCCATCTACTAGTTCATTCTCCGGCTTTCACAAAGAGGACATCCACAGAGACAGCGACGCGGCCAGAGAATCTCCGTTACGAGGGGATGCCAAGTGGCGCCCTTGGAGGAGGGTCAATATGGCTTGGAACAAATCTTCAGGTGCTTCAAGCGACGGTGAAGTCGGTAGTAGAGGAAGCCCACGCAGAGATACTGTAAGGCACCGACCGGGATATCATGACAGTAGATGTCCTCCGCCACGGCGTGCAATACTAGACGGAGAGAATGAACCAAATGTCATATCTCAGGCGACGGACAAGAAGACGATGACGTCGGCGACGCGTTGTTCAGTTCATCCTTGTGCGATCAGGGGGGTGGCGAGGCTTTCCCCGAGGCAGGTGGCGTCGCTGACTTTGACGACGCTCCTAGTGAGACGGATTGTGGGGGCTACAGTTTTGACGGTGGTTTTGATGGTATGGCGACACCCCCCGCGGAAGGTGGCGTAGAAGAACGTGAGGACAACGTACAGGGTATGAGGGGCGGGTACGTTAGCCCTATCGCAGACCTTGGCAGTGGTGTAGAGGAGGCGAAAGGAGAAGGGAGGGCCGAGGATCCGGGAAAAGTTGGTGGCACTCGCGAGGGTACCGTAGACGAGCACCTGTGGTGCCGACAGGATGGATGTCCCTATTCTGTCGATGGAGTTGGTGACGATGGTAGCGGCGGTGACTCAGTGACTGTTGGTGCAGGCTCGAGCGCCGCCGGCGTCCACCGGTTGAAGAGAGGAAGGACATATGAGCAGGGACCATTTCAGGATACGCAGACGGACGGCAGCGCGACATTGCGGGCTGGCTGCAAGGAGGTGGATGTCGGGGGGTCTCGTTTTCACGATGGCAATGGCGGTGGCGGTGGTGACACGTCCCCCGACGGAGAAGCCTGGCAGATCCTCAGGACTCTGGACGGGACACGAGTGTCCGGCGGTTAGGCCGTGAGATGTCTCATGGCGGTGGTGCAGACGGCCCCGGACCGGTGGGACATGCTGAGTATCCGTGCGAGGGTGGTGTTGATGACAGTGGTCGTGGTAGTGGAGGTAGTTGTTGTCGTGTACACGGGAGCGACTCTGGTGGACACGGCAAGGGCACAGGCAGGAAACAAACCATGTCCCGGCCTGGGGGTGGAGGATGGAGGTTTTCAGAGGGGGTTTAGATCGCGGAGGCGAGGTGAGCATACCCAAAGGGGAGCTACGCCCAGGATGGCTTGTGAGGCACTGCTGGTCGGCGGCGGGGATGGTCTCAACCTTTGTGGCAACATGGGCCGAGGCAGTGAGACCGAAGGTAGAGGTAGTGTGAGCAGCGGAAGCAGTGCGAGTGAAAGCATAGCTAGTGGCCAGCCTCGATTTGGTCTCCTAAGGCCGGAGGCAACGGGGTCAGGGTCAGCCGCTGGAAGCAACTTTGTAGGTGTTCCTAGGGTCAGTTTGGAACCCCAAAGCATTATGAGGCTGCATGGAGGGGGCGTCGATGTCACCGCGGCGAACGTAAGGTCTCCGTCCAAAACAAACGCCATCCGCAAGATGGGCAGTACAGTAGCCGTACGACGGAGGAACGAATTCGGGCGTCGTACGGGACTGACGTGGTCGGTTCTGCCTGGCGGAATGGAGGGGACACGATCAGGAGGCAAGCTCTGTCCTACGCCGGATGCCGTATTTGAGGCGATATGGTAGAAGTATGGGAGTGCGTGGGAAAGCTTCGTGTTGCAAAAGTAGTGTAAGAGCGTTCAAAATTTTTACTTCGCTCTCTGTTCGCGAACGCTGGGCGACTCATGGAGGCCTGAGCTATATTCCTTGGTCTTCTCTCGCTCGTCTTATCTCTCGACGTGGGTTAGGGAAATTACGCCGTGGCCTGACTTGATTAAAGCCCGGCCAACACACCGTGGCGGTTCAAGATCTTCAGCAGCTCTGCGCCTTTGTTGACAACATATAATAATGCCGGTTGCTCGCTAATGCCGGTGTAAGGGCTGGATCGCACCGGCATTATGTATTCGAGGACCACTACTGCTGCAGCACATATGCAACTACCATAGCGATTTTACCCTAATGCGGCCCAAAGTGTATGCATTCAGGCGTGTACTGTAGGTCATCCTCATCTCACCGCATTACAACCAAAGTTGAACTTTCTATGAGCGTGCGACTGACTGGTATAGCAGTTTCCAACAAAAGGGTCTGGGCCATCCATAATTTCACGACATTTTGGGTGGTTATTTACTGTAGTCTTTCAGCCGCGGTATTATTACACATGGGTGTAGCCGCCGGTAGGACATTTTTGGAGGAATGTCCTGCAACTCGGCCCACGGGTGTGTCACGCAGATGTTTTTTACTCAAGGTGTTTTCACCAAGAAACGAAACAACATATCGAAGCCCTTGGTGCCTGTGTGCGGCGATATATGTGAACAATTGCCCCGTGTGCTACTTTTGTAGCTACACATTGACGACACCACACACATGTAGGTGCGGCAGTACACAGACAGACAGGCACGGTTTCTGGTCGCCCCGTCGTCGCGCCCAGCGCATGCCTGTGCCTGGTGCACACTACATACACACACCGAGAGGTAACGGGAGAGAGAGAGAGAGAGAGAGAGAGAGAGAGAGAGAGAGAGAGAGAGAGAGAGAGAGA